TGGGAAAGACTAAATTCCTTTTTCCTGAGATTGGTGATAAGGGGCTAGGTCAATGGTAAAGTGTATGCAGGAAACATGGGTTCAATTTCTGTATAATACATATACATACACATATATACACTGGTATGAGGCAAGAAAGTCTTTCCTACAAGCCCTATGACCCCTAGGCATGAAAAGGAAATAGTAGTCAAATATTAGAAAGAAGAAAAAAAATGGTCTTTATTCACAGGCAATCTAATTACTTACATAGAAAATTCTATGTTATATACAAAAAATTACACGTATAGATGTAATAATGAATTTGTTAAGGTAACAAGACACAAAACCAATATACCAAAAATTGATTTCTATACCTAGCTAACAATTTCAGAATAAAAATGCTAACATCATTACAGCACAAGAAAACATTTAAAATGCTTATGTTTAAAACACAAAACTCAATAAATAAAAACTTAAATATAATGCTTAAGAACATATTCTTAACATGTTCATGAACACTCTATATTTAATATTTCTGATTAAACATTAAAGACCATGAGCAAATGGCATATTTATGGATTTCAGGATGCATATAATTGCTAAAATATTATTTTCTAAAACTGATCTATAGATTTGACATAATTTCAATTCAAAATTCAGCAGGTTTTTTTTTGTTCAGCAGTCATTTTTTGATAAAATAACTCGAGTTGATATCATTAATACTGTCAAAATGCTAATGTTGCCCAAAGCACTATCCAGATTCAATGCAGTCTCCAAAAAACTATTCAAGACATTTTTTAAAGAAATATGTCAGGAATTGGAGAGATGGTACAGTGTGTAAGGAACTTGCCTTACAAAGAGTCAACCTGGGTTCAATTTCCAGCATCCCATATGGCCCCTTGAGCACTACCAGGAGTATTTCCTGAGTACAAAGAAGGAGTAACGGCCCCAAAACTAACAAAAACCAAACAAGACATAGATCAAATGCTGTTCAAATTTATATGGAATAATTAATAATCCACAAATAGCCAAAAAATTAACATCAAAATTAAAAATGATGAGAATTGCTAACATGTAATTCCAAAACAAACAAAAGGGACAGAGTTGGAGGGCTCAAACTGCTTAACCTTAAGACTTACCATAAAGCAACAGAAATGAAGATGGTACAGTCTGACATAAATACAAATAGGTAAACAGAACACAAGAAACAATTCAAAAATAGACCCAAATATGGAACTGACTTTCATAAATGTTCCCTGGTGATCGAATTTGGGAAACAGGCCTTTAAACAAATGATGTCAGAAACAAAACAGATACAATAAAAAGTTTAAAAAATTCAACCAGGCATTAGAGATAATACAGGGGTTAAGGCACTTGTCCTGTATGTAGTTGAAATTGCTTCAATCCCCATCACTGTGTATGGTCTAATGAGTACACCAGGAGTGATCCCTGAGCACAAACAAAAGAGGAGGAGAGGGGAGGGGAGGGGAGGGGAGGGGAGGGGAGGGGAGGGGAGGGGAGGGGAGGGGAAGGGAAGAATTTTCAACATCTCCATGGGAATGTGGGTCAGTGGTAAGGTATGGGCTTTGTCCTGTATGTAGTTGAAATTGCTTCAATCCCCATCACTGTGTATGGTCTAATGAGTACACCAGGAGTGATCCCTGAGCACAAACAAAAGAAGAGGAGAGGGGAGGGGAGGGGAGGGGAGGGGAGGGGAGGGGAGGGGAGGGAAGGGGAAGGGAAGAATTTTCAACATCTCCATGGGAATGTGGGTCAGTGGTAAGGTATGGGCTTTGCACACACAAGACCTGTGTTCTCTAGCACCAGAAACAAAAATTATCTAAACTGACACCCACATTCCAATGCTACTACCATGTACTGGCCCTGCTCCAGAGACTCAATTAAATTTTGAAAGAGATCAAGTAGTCACAAAAATTTCTCGAACACATGGGTCCCTGGCTGAGGCCTCTGGGGTGATCTCAGGAGGTGGGTGGGCCAAGTTCCCTTTTTGTTACAAGTCCAGAAAGCCACATTCACACACCAACAACTATCACCATGCCTCCAGCTGAACTCTACCGCCTCGTGACTGAGTGCCACAGAGATGCCAAACTCTGGAAAATTTCAGGTACACCAAAGGGGTTTTTGGCTGAAAATTTCAGATCTTCTTGGAGTGGGGGTAAGCAACCCCCCATCTCCCACCAGCCCATAGGTCTCGAAGTCTCAAAAGCTACATCCATATTCCACCACCATTACCACCATGTAAGCTCAATGCTCAGTATATATTCTGGAGTTTCTGGATAACTACTGTAGCACTGTAGCACTGTCCTTCTGTTGTTCATCGGTTTGCTTAAGTGGGCACCAGTAACGTCTCCATTGTGAGACTTGTTACTGTTTTTTGGCATATGGAATACGTCACAGGGTGCTTGCCAGGCTTTGCCTCAAAGGCAGTATACTCTCGGTAGCTTGCAGAACTCTCAGAGAGGAGCAGAGGAATCAAATCCAGGTCGGCCCTGTGAAAGGCAAACGCCCTACCCACTGTGCTATCACTCCAGCATGGATAACTACAACCTCTACAATAAGAATTTCCAGTAGGAGCACACCAGATTAGATAGGAATGTAATGTACAAGTCAACTAAGCTCAACTAACAAAAACATTAACACAGAAGGCTCAACTAGCAACAACTTAGTGAACCCTCAGACAGGTCTTAATGTCCCCATTGTGAGATATAACAATTTTCACAAATTTTCTTTTACTGCAGCATTTTTTGATAAACTCATTAACTATTTAATGGCAACAAGCAATATAAAATCAATTACTTTGGGCCTGATACAGTAATAGGCCTGACAAGTGGTTTGTTGGAGAAATGGGGACAATAGTGGAAGGAAGGTTCATTGGTGGTAGGATTATAATATTGAATGCCTGTAACAAATGCATCATAAACAACTTTTGTAAACCAGGGTATTAAATAAAGTGGAAAAAATTAAAGTTCTAGAATTTAAAAAAATTATTACAGGAGATAGTATAGCAGGTAAAACATGTGCCTTGCACACAGGAAACCCAGTTTCAATCCCAGCAATGAGAGAGAGAGAGAGAGAGAGAGAGAGAGAGAGAGAGAGAGAGAGAGAGAGATCTATGACTCCATTATGATAAACAATTTCTTAGATAAGATGCAAAATGCATAAGCAGTAAGATTATTTGATAATAAAAATTTCAAGTCAAAGGCACCACGGAAAAAAACAAAAGGTGAGCACAAACCAGGAAACCATATTTAGAATATATATTACTCACAAAGTAATCCATCCAGAAAACAAACTAAAACTCCTATAAATCAATGTAAGCTACTCCCCTGAAACAGCAAATACATGAAGAATTGTTCAACATTAGGAAATTGCATAAGATATAATTTTACTTCCACACAAATGTCTAAAAATAAAATAAATGACCATACCAAGTGTCAGTGAGGGTTATGAAATAACTGAACTATAAAATTAAAAACTGAATTATAAAATTAAACACTGCAATTTCACAGCTGGGGAAAAAACTTGAGAAAACAGTATATATTTATAAAAAGCTGATGTCCAAACAAAAATATTCACAAAAGCATTATTCAAAATAGCCAAAATAAGAGAAACTCCAAATGGCCATCAAGAAGAAAATGAAAATGTGTGATATTCATATAATGAATTACTCAACAATAATCACAATGTCATAAAAGAAACTCACAAATCCATTTCAATATGCTGAGTGAAACAAATTAGCCACATAAGATGCATTATAGAACTTGAGATACAGTAGAGTGACTAAGGCGCTTGCTTTAAATGCAGCTGACCTGGATTCAATCCCCAGCATCCTATGTGGTCCCCAGAGCACTTTTAAGGTTAATTCCCGAGTGTAGAGCCAAGAAAAACCTTGAACATTACTGGGTGAGACCCACAAATAAGTAAACAACAAAAATGTACCATATAACTCCATTATATGAGACTCCAGAATACAGAAATCTACTCAATGTTGAAAAATATATTATATTTATTGCCTCTGTCTGGGAAAGGTTTCAGGAAGCGTTCAAAATGATGGAAATGTTTTATATCTCAGATTGGGCTGCCAATTAAACAGCTGAAGGTATGCCACAATCAAAATCTTATTCTCGAATCTCTAGATTCTCCAATTGTCTTCAGGGATATTTAATTAATTGTCTTTAATGGGGGGGCTCAAACCTAGAAGTTGGCAGGAGAAGGGTGCAGACGCTACTCTGACACTGTGCTCAGGCTCAGCAGTGCAATGATCGGGGGTCATTGGGGTCATACCCAGCAGTGATAAGGAGAGGACATGTGGTGCCAGAGATAGACTCAGACACTCAAACATGCTAGGCATGTACTGTCACACTTCAGCCATCACCCCAGCCCCCAAATCCAAAATCATTCATTTCACTGTACAGAAATTTTCCTTTCTCTTTTTAAATCATCAGGAATGGCAAACAGGGTAGTAACAAGGGAAGAGAAATTAAGAATATCCTAAATGCAAATGAGATAAAGATTATAAAGAAAGATAGCATGATCCTTCATCTGTTCAAAACATGTTCAGGGGGCAAATTACAAAGCTGGCTTAAACCCAAAATTCAAAGGCATAATTTTAAGAGCTTGTCAAATTTAGCAAATGGATTAAATCTGGAAATTCAAAGCAATAAATGCTTTTATTCATATTAGTCAGCCTAATTTAAAAAGTGAATTTGCGAAGCGGGGATGCTGGAGATATAGTATAGGGGTGATGGCACTTGCCTTGCATATAGCCAACCCACGTTCAATCCTGGCACCACATATGTTCCTCTGTGTACCACCAAGATTGACCCCTGAGGACAGAGCCAGGAGTAAGCCCTGAGCACAACTTGGTGTAGCCCAAACACCCACCCCAACAGGGAATGTTTATTAAAAAATACTATTTTTATCACTTCCATGACAAAAATTCCTAGTATGAACTTTGAGAATGAGTAGTAAGCCAGAAATCACCCCAAATTCATTCTTACCTTCAGTGAAACTCCCTGTCAGGGTGATTACCACATATACTTTTCCCTCTGGCTCCAGATCCACCTAGAAAGATTTAAAAATATATATGTTATATTCTGTGGTGTATTCAATATGCCAAAAAACAGTAACAATAATGAGCCTCATTCCCCTGACCCTGGAAGAGCCTCCAATACGGCAGCATTGGGAAGGACGAGTAAGGAGAGGCTTCTAAAATCTCAGGGCTGGGACAAATGGAGACATTACCGGCGCCCGCTTGAGCAAATCAATGAACGGGATGACAGTGATACAGTGATACAGTGATGTTATATTCTAATTTTTAAGTATATTTGGTGGTCCTCAAATACTTCCTTGCAGAGTTCTTAATGAGAAAATCACACACATAAGTCAGATCTAAGTTGTACTAACAGTAGAGGTACTAGAATCCACTTGAAAGTGCAAGAAATGGTAAAGGCTAAACGTACTTAAAAAAAAAACAGTTCTTTGTTTCCCTTCTCTGGAATTTAATTTCTTCCATTTCAGTTCTCTGAAGTATCTATGGAGCGATAGCACAGCGGTAGGGCGTTTGCCTTGCACGCAGCCAACATGGCCGACCCGAGTTCAATTCCTCCGCCCCTCTCGGAGAGCCCGGCAAGCTACTGAGAGTATTTGATATGCCAAACACAGTAACAACAAAGTCTTCAATGGAGACGTTACTGGGCCCACTCAAGCAAATCGATGAACAATGGGAGGACAGTGACAATGACAGTGAAGTATCTATCAAGCAGCACCCATAAGCTTGGTCATGGCTTGAGACATTCCTGTCTCATGCACACCATGTTAGGAGCCCCATTCCATTAAGCCACACAGTAAGTGCAGGAACCAGAGAAGTACTGACAACACCCAAGGTAATAAGTAAACAGAGTACAAACAACTGTGAGTCTTTTGTTCTGGCAAAGAAAATATATGAAGCATGGAGAATTATCTCTGTCCCTAACATTTTCCACAAAAAGTAATTCATCTATAGGCCTTAGCACGGGAGCAGTTTGGGATTTTTACACTGGTTACTCCTGTGTTTGGGGGTATTGAGAACTCTTAAAGGTCTTACCACAAGCTTAGATACCAAGACATACATTCTGAGGATGAGACAGTTTGTTACAAATCCCAGAGAAGCAGTTTTTTTTCATGTGCGCACTGACCCGGAAACCCAGGTTGGCAGGCACTGGCCTCCTTATTGCTGCTGTGAAGCCAGGAGCACTTTAAAACCTAGACAGGGAAATGTTTTGTTGTTGTTGTTGTTGTTGTTTTGGGTTGTTTGGGTGGGGGGAGTGGTTGGTGTTTTTTGTTTGGTTGGTTGGTTGGTTTGGTTCGACTTTTGGACCACACCCAGTGATGCTCAGGTCTTACTTCCAGCTACTCAGGAATTACTCCTGGTGGTGCACAGGGACCATTTGGGATGCTGGGAATTGAACCTGGGTAGGCTACATGCAAGGCAAGCACCCTAACTACTGAACTATGTCCTGCCCCAAACTGAAAGTTCTTTTGAATCCAGATTTATAAATTTATAATTGTCCTTTAATAAAACATTATCAGGTTGAGTCCACAGCTGCAGTTGTACCTTTGACCCTGCATCTAAAAGGATATATCAAGAGAAACAGTATGGTTCTCTATGGTAGAGCATTAGCTAAGCTATTAAGCACAGGGTGCAGCAGAAAGAGCTCGAACTACAGCAGGAAGGACATCAATTCCAGTCTGGCTGCCACAGCAGGTGCTGAACTCTGGGCAAGTTCTGGACCCACTTGAGTTTTATCCCCAAGAGTCTGAGAGTCCCAAATGTCAGCTTTATTCAGTATTTCTCACACAGCTTCAGGAGGATAATCTCAAAGAGCCTTTATAGTACTGACTAATATTGTACCTACAGGTGACAAAGATCGATAAAATATATTGAGTTTTTTCTCTTGGGGTAGGGATTGTCAGGAACTGAACCCAGGTCCTCACACATGTTAGGCATTATCACTGAGCCACATCCCAAGCTCCAAAAATGCATGAACTTTACCCTAGTTCACATCCACATATTTTTATCCCCCACACCTGGTCATATTCTTTTTTCAAAATAAAAGTTGCCTGTTTGACACTGACTCAAAAACTTTATCTGTATAACAATATATTCTTTATACACCCATTCCTTGTCTGCAGAAAAGCTGTGATCAATGGTGGTTTCCACACTGCAAAGCACACCAGTGTTCAAATCAACTACTTGCCTCATCAGTACTGCTAACTTAACAATACCCTCTCAGCTAGCTTTACACCACTTAGGAGCCTTTGGAGAGCAGTTCTGAAAATAGAGCTCTCGGGAGGGATGACTAAACAGGATGTCAGTCTCTTAATTGTCTATACTCTCTGCCTTGACTTGTTTCAAGTCGAAAATGTTATTTTTAAAAACCACTCCTTCATCTTCAATATAAACGCCTGGCAGAGAACACACATTCGCCCCCACAACATAAACTGCTATTGGCACAGAAGGAGCTGCTCCCAGCCTCAGGACAGAAAGCCACTTGTTTCCACCATCCTGCAGTGCCCTGGACAACCATTCCTGACCTACCATTAGGATTGATTCCACTGATTTCACCATTTGGAACCAAACAACAGGTTTCCCTCTCACTTTTGTCCATGCCCCCACTGTGGTGGAAAATCCAGACTCTAATTTCACCATCAAGCCTCACCCATCTGGGGCTGGCCGGCTAAATCCTCCGACCTTAGGAAGACACTTTACAAGCTGCAAATTGAGATTCTTTCATGTGACATTTGAGGGGTTGCACACAAGAAAGATTTTTAAGCAGAACAAAATGCAACAGAAGATATGTACATGAGGAGAAAGGAAAAGTACTATGTCCTAAAAAACTTCTGTTTGCAGTTGGTATGCATGTGTCAATGTAAAAACCCTTTTCCTACCATGTCACAGAAAAATGTGTCTTAAAAACATGCCCTTCCAGGTTATTTGTTTTATTGATGTGGTCAATAAATAGATAGGCTGTCATCATCTATTCATATTGATTGCTTAGCCCCAGGGGCAGCCAACTCACTGCTTCCACCATTGGCCTGTTTCATTCCTATATTCCATGGGAAGTACTTTCTCTAAGAGCAGAAGAATAGCAACCAATAGATTATGCTCACTAACCTAGTTCTGCCTCCTTAGATAATAGTGAGAATTTTCTCTTTAGTTATAACACCCATTCTAACCTCTAGAAATTGCCTTTCAGCTTTCTTTGAGAACTTTCTTTTCCTCCCAGATGGCTCAAAGAATTCTGATGGGAGTCTTCCATACTTGCAGAGGGGATAGGTCACTCTAGCCTATCAAAGCCATGAGTTCTCCTGGCCAACACAGTCTGCAATGAAGCAAATATGTGCCTTAGATCTTGTCCTCTGACTAACTTAACAGCAACTTCATAACCCTCAGGAACTAACTCAGTTTCAGGCACAATATCCAAGCAAGAATCCTACATCTACATGAAAGAGAAATCTTACATCTGCTGAACTCCAATCTTCTAATCTGGAAGGAAAAAATTTCAGGAATACCTGGTATCCATCTTGTCATCAGGCTTTGTAGAGAGAATGAAGCCAAGAATTAAAGGGGTGCTGGGATAAAGAGACTAGGTCTTGATCTCATTTAAACTCTGAGATCAAGCCTTGTTTGAGTCCTCAAGACTGTTCAGCTACTTGAGTCCATTTTTTTTGGTCACATCCAGCAATGTTCAGGGGTTACTTCTGGCTCTGCACTCAGGAATTACTCCTCATGGTGCTTGGGGAACCATATGGGGTGGCAGGGATTGAACGCGGGTCGGCCACATGCAAGGCAAATGCTCCATCCACTGTACTATCACTCTGGCCCCCACACATTCCACTTGAGGGTAGTGAGAAGTGGTGTCATACCTGGCTATGTGACAAGCTACTTCTGGCTCTGGGCTTTGGGGACCATGTGGTATCAGAGATCAAACCAGGGTCAGCAGTATGGAAATCAAGCCTCCCTTAACCCTCGTAGTATCTCTCTAACCCCTATTCCTTTTAACCAGTTTAAGTAGGGTTTTCCCATGACCAACTTTCAAAGGACATTCAAACTGGCAGCCAATAAGAATAAGCAAAATACATGAAGACAAATGTCACCTCCTCTCTGTGCCTTCTAACATCCAGATTGTGCCCTGAAGTTCACCTCCCTTGAGCACTGAAACATAAGCAGTTTTCTAAGGTGATGGTAACATTTTTTTTAATTTTTAAGATTTTTTTATTGAATCGCTGTGAGATAGACCCCTACAAAGCTGTTAGTCATACAGTATTTTAACACCCATCTCTCCACCAGTGTACATTCCCCAGGACTAATATCCCCAGTTTCCCTCCCATCACCCTCCACAACCAGGCACCCCTGCCTTTTCACTCTCTCTATCTCCATCTTTTGTGCACTGTGGTTTGCAATACAGATACTGAGAAGTTGTTGTATATATCCCTTTACCTACTTTTAACACTCAGTTTTTTGTCCAGTGTGATCATTTCTAACTATTATTGTCATACTGGGCCCATCTCAGATGGTAACATTTTGAGAGAATTCTAGTTGCTCCACCTTCTTATAAACTGTAATATATCATTTTAATGTTGGCGATCTTCATAGACATGCAATTAATAATTTGTGATTTTACTTTGTATTTTTCTAATGATGAATGTAGTTGAACTTGTTTTTATTTGTATGAATTTTTCATCTGTATAGCATGGTTTAAGAAAAGTGATAAAACAGATTATTTGTATTTTATTTTATTTTGGTTTGGGGCCATACCTAGCAGTGTTCAGGGGTTGCTTCTGGCTCTGCACCAATGAATTGCTTATGGTGGTTCTTGGGAGACCATAGGGGGCTACTGGAGATTAAACCTAGGTCGATCACATGTTAGGCCAATGCCCTACCCACTGTGCTCTCATTTCAACTCTAAAACACTTCTCTTCTCATCAGGCCTGTCTCCTCACCCTCTGGCTCAGCCCCACCTTGTTCACACTGCTGTCTACTTGGAAACCCTCTCTCCCTTCACTTCTCTGCTCATTCAAGA